TACAAATTTACACAATGTACATGTCATTAACATTATCTGAAATTTGACCGAGAAAATTCATATAAAAATAACATGAAAAAAAGCTTCTTTTTTGAAATATTTTCCTGGTTTTTGACTTTTAAGAACAATTACATCTGAATATTCACAGTTTGAAAGCAGGATTGCAAACTTTCCTAATAAAACCGCCTTAACTTTATTTCATTGTTTGACAAAAAAAAAAGGTATTCAAAATCTAATATAGATAAATTTTCCAATTATTGATTGTGCACTAGAAGTCATTCTTTGGGAGTTTTTGGCTTCTTGTGGTCAATAATTGCCTGACGCAAACCATGTGATCGCGTAAAGTCGATTTCTGCATAACTAGTTGTAGATACAGGAGCAGATTTGGGTCCTATATCTAATGACCATGAAGTTGAGGAAGTATTTATATTAGAGGGACGATTCTTGGGTGAACCTTTTGGTGATGGCTCTTTTTGACTAAGATCTAAGGATATATAGTTCAAATCCTTTGACTGCGATGATTTGCTCCCACTAAAGTCCAGGAAAAGCATACCATTTTCTTCATCTGATCGSCCAGTAAGACCTACTGGCTCACTCTCTCGCCTGCCAAAGCGATTTCGGTTTGGTTTCCTTTGTGGTAATGTTTTTCCCTTTGAGTGAGAYTTTTCAGAATGTCTTCTTGGAAATAAGTTCATGTAATCACTAAATTGTGTACTATCTACTTTGGGACTTCCATCCAAGTGTAAATTCTCATACGTATGTTTGTGCTTTTGTCTCGGTGAATKTGAACGCTTAGCTTGTCCAGGTTGAAAGTTTACATAACTCGGAGGYTCTTCTGTTACARGCTCCTCGGYAGTAGATTTCCCTGGCTTAAAGTTCATATAATCATGCTCTTTGCTTTCAGTYTCCRYRCCATGGTAATCWCCAGGGCGCAAATTCATRTAASCAGATTCTTCCTCGTGTTGAAATCCTTCTTTAGGTTTGATGTTAACATAAGTATGRTATTTTGCAAATGGATTCATATCAACGTACTCGTCATTATCTTTGCCCCGCCTTCTCCTCTGGGGAGATTGACAGGGAGAGTTATCTTCTGGYTGAGAATCAGGATCTTCGCTAATTGTTTCACTACCCGGTCTGCCCTTTTTACTTCTTCGTGGAGAAGACAATGGAGAATTCTTAATTGTAACCAGTTCAAGAAAYTCATTRCTGATAGTTGCCATGGGCTCTGATGTGCGCCTCTGTTTTGGAGATGATTTTGTTTTCAGTTGTAACTGTTCCAGTACTGGAGAATCGCTTCTWGGGGGAGCTGAAGTACGTCGCTGCATGCTAGGAGAATTCARYGATGGTACTGTTTCTCTTTCAAGTGAATTAGTGTTTGATTCTTGATGCACATTTACATAATTATGTTCAGTTTTTTCAATGTTTATTATAGATAARATGTTTCCTGACATGTCTTCATAGCCTGATCGATGCCGCTGGGATATCCCAGTCTTTTTTTCACTGTGATTGGTGGGTTTTTCTTCAATTGAGTTGCTTGAATCTGTGACWTGTTGCTGGTCATTTTTGTGGTTATTGGATTCTCTCTGCAAAGTAAATTATGAATTTAAAA